AACTGAATAATGATGGACCTGGATCCTATGGCGCATGAGTAGTGTTGCGGTAGAGGAAGGCAGCTTCTCTGCTTCCCCTCTCACTGCAGCCTTCTTTGTCCAACAAAATAATGCTTTGCATCTATTACTGACCCAAAGGAACAGTGTGAAGAGGGCAAATTGGGAATCTGCAGCAGGAGGGGAAAATTGGCAAAACCCACCCTCCTCTCCTTCACAAACAGAAGAGCTGTTTTGTTAGAGGAGCTGCTGTTGTACTGACAGAATGGCCCCACAGAACCCAAGCCATGATATTCACACAATAGTTATTTCTTGGTACTGAGAAACCAAGATTAAATGAAGAACAATAAGAATGATGGTTATAAGCTTCTATGAGAAGATCTCTGTATCTTTTCCTTTCCCTTCTTTTCCTTTTCCATATTTCTATGTATAAACTAATAAAATTATTTATAAAAAAAGAGACAGAAAGTTGTTGGTGGGGGATTCTTGGAGAGGAAAGGTTCTTTACTTCCATCCTAGCATAGGGACCACAGCTTATCTAGTCTCCAGCCAGTCAACCACAAGCCCCACCAAGGCCTTGGCAACCTTACTTCAGGCAGGGCTGGGTGCTACATTGGGGAACAGTGCTCAAATGAGGCATAGGTGGCATATCAAAGAGCAACATGTGGCATTCCAGTCTTCAAGAGTTTCCCTGTTTATTTCAGTAAAAGAAGCAGGTCCATGTATTCATTGGAAAAGGCCACCTGTATGCACAGAATATTTCTATGTGAATTTAATTATGCAATAATCTGTGGTCACTTCAAAGGTTGATTGGCACCCCTGACAGCATCAGACTTTAGAAACAACACACAGTACAGCCATTATTTATACTGTCCTAATAGCATCAAGGATTTGGTGTAGTGGTTAGAGTGTCAGACTCGAATCTGGGTAAGGTTGCCAGGTCCCTATCTTTTAGGAGTGGGGGGCTCCTGGCTCCTCTCTGGGATCTTCAGGCACATGTGCTTAGTGCATGCACTATGATGTCATCGCCCAGAAGTGACATCATCATGCTAGGCATGTTGCAGGGGGGACACTCTAGTGTTCGGCAAAGAACTCTGTAGTCACAATAGAATTTTTTGCTGAATGCTGGAGCATCTCCCCATTCTAGGTGACGTCATTGCATTGGGCACAGCAGGTGCCGCGGGGTTCCCCCACCAGCCAGCTGGCCAGCAGGTGGATCATGGGGGCCAAAATTAGGGGGAAACCCACACCCATCGGGGGGATGGCAACCCTAAATCTGGGAGATCTGGGTTCAAATCCCCACTCAGGTATGAAGCTCAGTGAGATTTTGAGCCAGTCTTGTGATCTCTCTCAAGCAGTTTAACCTACTTTAAAGGGCTGTTGTGAGGAGAAATGGTAAAGATGAGAGCTAATGTATAGTGCCCTGAGCTCTTTAGAGGATAGATGGGATACAAATCCAGAAGACTGGACTGGAATAATGGTCAGGGTCAAAGAATGAAATACATCCCAAAGGCTGTTCTAGACAGTAGAAATGGTCTGTTCTGGACTGATGATGTAGAATATACAAGCAGTTGTATGTGTGGCTAGATTACTGGGAAAATTCCTAGAAATATGAAGAGTGTTAAGTGCATAAAACCATTGGACAACAGCTTGGATATATATTCAGATCTCCTGATTAAGAGGAATAACATTTAGGGGAAGTTTTTGTATAGACACTTAAGAACATAAGTACAGCTTGCTGAATCAGACCAGCAACCCATCTAATTTAGCATATTGTTTCACACAGTGGTCAACTAGTATCCCTGGAGGGCCAAACAGGGAGTGGAGGCCAAGGCCTTCCCTTGGTGCTGCCTTTTAGCACTGGTAATCAGTGGTTTGCTGTCTCTGTTTATAGGGGAGTCCTTTTACTTGCCATGGCCAGTAGCCATTGAGGAGGAGGAGGAAGAGATTGGATTTATACCCCACCCTTCACTCGAAGTCTCAGAGCAGCTTACAAACTCCTTTCCCTTCCCCTCCCCAGAACAGACACCCTGTGAGGTAGGTGGGGCTGAGAGAGCTCTTTCAAGAACTGCCCTTTCAAGGACAGCTCTTGTCAGAACTATGGCTTGCCCAAGGTCATCCAGCAGCTGCAAGTGGAGAAGTGGGGAATCAAAACCAGTTTTCCCAGATTAGAATTTGCACACTTAACCACTACACAAAACTGGTAGACCTCTCCTCCATGAATCTGTATAACCCCCTTTTAAAGCCATTTATACTCATGGCCATCAGTATGTCCACTGGCAGCAGATTTAACAGTTTAATTACTCACTGAAATGTTTCCTTTTTTCTGCCCTGAAGCTATTTCCCAAAAACTTCATGGGTGCTCCAAGTTCTATTATTATGTAAGAGTGAGAAAACACTCCCTCTATTTACTTTCTCTACCCCACACATAATTTTATAAACCTCTGTCACATTTCCCCTTAACAGTCTTTTTGTAGACTGAAAACTTCTAGATTCTCCAGTTTTTCCTCATAGGAAAAGCACTTCAGCCCTTTAATCATCTTGGTTGCCCTCTTCTGTACTTTTTCCAGTTCTGCAATTTATTTATTTTTATTTATTTTTTTAGATACAGGAATCAGAACTGTACATAGTATTCCAAATGAGGCCTTTCTGTAGCTTTATACAAAGTCATATTGGCTATTTTATTTTCAGTCCCTCTCCTAATAATCCCTAGTATAGAATGACTTTTTCACTGCTACTGCACACCGAGTTGACATTTTCTAGTTTTCCACTGTTATGCCGAAATTTCTTTTGTTCTCAGTATCAGCCAGTTTAGACCCCATCAGCATATATTTAAAGTTAGGACTTTTGGTTCCAGTGTACATCACCTTACACTTGCCAACAATGAAACTAATTTGCCATGCTTTTGCCCACTCATTCAATTTAGAGAGATCCTCCTGTAGCTCTTCACTATCCACTTTCACAATCCTGCACCATCTGCAAACTGGGCTACAACCCTGCTCATCCCCAGTTTCGTATTATTTCATATTATCACTCTTGTCTAATATTGGGAAATAGAAATATTAAATAACTGACAATCTGCTGCCCTTTAAAGGTGCCTCTGTTACGTTACTTGAGGTGATAGCTTCACTATACCTAATGGTAGAGCTAGCACTAATGATAACCTGTCATATCCATAATTAGTTTATACCCTTGCTTTTTATGTGGAATGTTGCAGTATGCAATATATTAATTATAAGCCATATTTCAGATCAGAGTAATCAATGTTTTACAATACATAATATGAGCAATATCCAATCAGCCGGATGCAGTTCGCAAAACCTTCCTAAAGTGAATATCACAGGAGTATCTGTCTGGATCCAAAAAACATTTTCCTGTGATATTCACTTTAGGAAGGTTTTGCGATCTGCGCTCGGCTAATTGGATTTTGCTCTTGCTGAAAGCAGACATAATTGTAAGAGCTTCAAGGTTACTGCTCTGTATACGATATTTCCTGAGGAAGAATTCCATTTGAAACGTTGAAAACAGTCCAGAAACAACGTTGAATAGGATTTTTCTTATGATTTATTGGAACTGTATTTTATATAATTGTGAACTGTATACATTTCAAACAGATATTATTCATTGCATAAAAAAAGAATTATCTTTATGACTTATTGAAACTGTATTCTGTATGCAGTTCAAATAGACATTATACATTGTATTTACAAATTGTTTGACTGTTGACACTTTGGGGTCTGATGTTTACAGTTGTTTTTTGATTCTGTCTGCAACATTAGACCATGTTTATCATTATTGTTTAATGTTTAATACATAATATGAGGCACTACTTATTCATTGTCCTGTGTTCAGTGCAGTCCCACATGGGACTATGCACATGCAGGCCCATGTGCACTCAGGGGTCCTTTCGTAGAAAAAGAGCTGCAAGAGCTCATTAGCATACCTATTAAGCTATTAGCATAATAGCTCATTACTGACATCACCAGAAGTTATATCAGAAGGAGAAGCAAAATGGGGGGCATCTTCAAAAGCCTCCCCTTTCCTTCCCCAGCCGGCCTGCCAAGGCAGGCTGGGGGGGGGGGGGAGCGAAGAGAGAAGGGGGTTACTATTCTATGGGGCCATAGAATAGAATGGAGAGATCACGCCGCCACTGCAGCACACCATAGAGAAGGGGTTTAAACTTTAAACCCCTTCTCTCTTTGCATCCCCCCCAGGCCACCTTGGCAGGCCAGCTGGGGAAGGGGAGGGTTTTGAAGATGCACCCTCCCCCTGGTTTTTGCTTCCCCAGTTGGCCTGCCAAGGTGGGCTGGGGAGGGGGGAAGCGAAGAGAGAAGGGGTTTAAAGGTTAAACCCCTTCTCTCTAGAGTCGCAGTCTCTCCATTCTATTCTATGGCCCCATAGAATAGAATGGAGAGATCGTGCCGCCAGTGCGACACAACACCAGCGAGAAGGGGTTTAAACTTTACACCCCTTCTCTCTTCGCATCCCCCCCCCCCAGCCCGCCTTGAACTGCTAGGAGATTTGATTTAAAATAAGCCCCTAAGTACTTACTGGATAAGTATCCTTAAGGATAGGGCTGCCAACTTTGGGTTGGGAAACTCTTGGAGATTTGGGGGGGGGTGGAGCCTGGGGAGGGCAAGGTTTGGGAAGGAGAGGGACCTCAGCAGGGTATGATTCCATAAAGTCCACCCACCCTCCGAAGCAGCCTTTTTCTCCAGGGGAACTGATCTCTATAATCCAGAGATCAGTCGTAATTCTAGGAGATCTTCAAGCCCCACCTGGAGGGTGGTAACCCTATCTAAGGTCAGTAATTTCATTCCATACAAACAGACATACTCTAATAGCACCAAGTGTAACGTCAAAGAAATTCCTCTAGGGAATAAGAAATGTGTATAAAAATTAAAATATCAGGAAATATGACATTTCTTGAAATAACCCCAACAATGTCAATTAACTGTTATATACTTCTTATTTTTAGGGTAGGCTGAATTTGCTCAGGTGATGGCATGAGATCAACTGATTGGGCAAAATTATCCACAATGGAGGACATGGATGGTATGAATGTAGTACTTAATTGAGAATTTTAAAAAACCTTCCCAAACACATTTTCTCATGTTTTTCCCCAGTTAGATATCTTCAAAGCAGATGGGTTCAAAATTTGCATGCTTGCAATGACAGACATGGGTAATTACTGTAGAAAGTGGTATGTATCTAAACACTTGGCTTTACTGAGAATCAAAAAGTGGTTCCTGTTACATATTTAGGATTTTGAGCATCAGGACCAGGGAAAAGAAATATCTCCTTCCAAGAACAGGGAGAACAGTTGCCAGTCTGAGCTACCGGCCTGAGGGGAAATGGATGAACCAATGAGACTGGCCCAATTACTTTCATACATTTACAATTTTTATACTTGGGTATCCACACCAATATACAAAAACTAGAGTGGACCGTAGTTCTGCTTGATAGGAATTGTATTTGACAGGAATTGCACAAGAAGTTCCCTGCTTTTCCAAAGTACCAATAGTTTTCTAAAATTCACTCTTCTGACTTAGTAAAAGATAATGGGCACATGCTATCTGATATATTCTTTACAGGCCTTTTTACATTAAAAACAACAACAACAGAACAAGAGTGACACTGTTCAGTTGTTTCTTTGCTTGATCAATTGTGTGTGCTTATGTTTAAACACTGGTTCTAAAGCCAGTGCTAAAGAATATGTCAGCCAACTTAAATAAAATGGTAAGGATTTATATATCAGAATTATGCCATTCTTTTCAACAACTTGGGAGGCAGCCGGAACTCCGTTCCTGTGCGTTCCTGCCCAAAAATAGCCCTGGGCACATGCTATCTGATATATTCTTTACAGGCATTTTTACATTAAAAACGACAACAACAGAACAAGAGTGACACTGTTCAGTTGTTTCTTTGCTTGATCAATTGTGTGTGCTTATGTTTAAACACTGGTTCTAAAGCCAGTCCTAAAGAATATGTCAGCCAACTTAAGTATAATGGTAAGGATTTATATATCAGAATTATGCAGTTCTTTTCAAAGATTTGTAGTGCAGCTTGCAATCACTGTCATTTATATAATCGCCCATTCAAATGCTGATTTAGCACATTCCTGATGACTTTTGATGGTACAATATGATTCACTCCAAGAAAATAAGATTATACATTTGCACATGCCTCTTTGGGACTGTATCTCGAAGCTGACTCTACAGAGATGTCTCAGATGACAAATTGCCATCCACACTTTCTTCTTTTTGCCTTGTGGATGGAGGCTAACTGTACAGTGATTTAATGTAACTGGCTTGCAGTAGTGCCTGAAGCTACATTCAGCATTTCAATACAAAATTACGTGCAGTGATATAGGCTGATTTTTAGCTTTGCTGCAGCGGATCTGTGCGGCTGCAGCCCTAGAGACTGCTTGTGGTGGGTGCTCAGAGCAACACTTCACCATAACAGGGCTACACGGGTGTGAAGCACAAAGGGAGAGCAGGTTCCTGCGTGGGCCTAAATGGAAACTTGTTCCTGTCCTCTCCAGTCTGACCTTAGCATGTGTGTACAGCTGCATGCACACTGCAGTGCATTGGCTATTACATGGGACAAGAGGCTTGGAATGAGTAACTTATGGGCTGGGACAGTATATGCTTGCATGGTCATCGAAGCTGATTTTTTAGCTATCACTGTTAACTGCCCTTTACAGGAGAAAGACAAGCTAAAATAATGAAAAATTCTGTGTGACCAGTTAGATAGTAGCTCTGTTTGTATTATTTTTAAAAATAGTTGTTTATTTCAGCAGGTGACTCGTCATCAAAAACAGAGGAAAAAGATCCACCCCAGAGTCCTTATTCTGTTGAAACGCCATATGGCTTCCACTTAGATCTTGATTTCCTGAAGTATGTTGATGACATTGAAAAAGGAAATACTATCAAGCGGATTCCAATTCACAGGAAAGCAAAACACCCAAAGTTCAGCACTCTGCCTCGGAATTTCAGTCTTCCAGAAAATGGATCCAAGGCCTATTCCTCCTCCCAAAGTAAAAGCTTTCTGACACAGAGGAAAGCCTCCTTAGGGACAGAGGAAAGTACCCTTCTTGTCACATCCACAGAATCATCACCATCTTCAGGCTATCTAAATGAGCCAAGTTACAGAAGGAAAGCCCTCTTAACAGAGACCATCAAACAAGATTCTGCTAATCTTGAAGAGGAGACTAGTAGAGGGAGGCCTCAGCTGCTGAGGGCATCAAGTATGCCTGCCACACTTCCACCAATCCAAAATTCAGAAGACAGTCAGCTAGCAGCAGGTTCTCCACCACTAGACCCTTTCCAATCTGTGGATGGAAAGGGCTTACAATTTGATTTTACTCCTGTAAAAGAACCATTGGAATTAGATAACTCCTGTGGTTCTTCATTAACAGTCTCAGGAAACCTAAAAAATGTGAAACCACAAAGCAATATGGCCGCCTATGCTAGCCAGAAACCCACAGATCAAGAGAACGCTATTCTTGAGCACGACAAGCAAGAAGTAGAGCTTCCTGAGGAAAGAATACAACTCAGTGCTCTATGGCAAAGCCAGCATTTAATATCTGAAGAACTGCTTGTAGTTACTGAAAGTGCAAAAGAAGAATGTAGCATAGGAGAGACTAATAACTCTCTGCAGTTAGTCCAGAGTGTATTAGATGCTTCTGGAACTTTGGAATACATGTATGAAAGCCAGTCTCAGGAAGAAAGAGAACTGAATATATGTGAGAGTGTTCCACAGGTACTCAAGGAGGATGAAGTTGACAGTATTGGCACTAGTGAGATGGGGGCAAGTTTGCATCCTGAGGCTTTGACTGATGAAGAACCTGGCAAGGTAATAGCCTTGAAGCAACATATTGCCATTCTGGAAGAGCAGCTAAATAACAAAACAGAGGAACTTGAGCAGATCCGTGTCATTTTGAAGCAGCAAGATAAGGAGATCAAGGCAAAAGAGAGAAGTATTGAGATGCTCGCAAGCTCCAAAGCTCAGCTGGAAGAGAAACTCTGTTGGGAGAGCACCAAAGAAATTAAACCATCCATGCAAGCTAACAGTGCCCTCCAGTGCCATGATGCTGCTGTGAATACTGAAATTGTGCATGAAAAGGTAGTGAAAGGGGCATCTGACAAAGGGATCAATGTAAGCATCACCATACCTATGGAATCTGTAGGATGTGATGTTCATGAGGCTAATATGAATATGCAGCTCACAGAAGTAAGCAAAGAGATTGTCCATGCAAACCATGAGAGGGTAAGCACCCCTGTTAGTGCTGGAGAGAAAAACAGCACATTTTTTGGAGTGGAACAGTGTATTGATGGTTCCATTCTTGAAATGAAGAATAATGAACTGAAGATTGATGAACACACTGAAAATAAGAAATATCAGAATGAAGTATGCCAGTGTGGCACGCTGTTGTCTTCTGCTAGTGTTCCAGCTGGTGGAAGATGCTCAGAGTTTGGCGATGCAAAGGAAAAAGGAAATGAAACTGTTTTTAAAAAAGATTTTAAGGAAGATCTGAATGAGGAAGAGAGCCACCCAGAACCAGTGGATTCACCTGCAGATCCCTCCATACGCCAGTATGTTAAAAAAATCCAGGACCTTTTACAAGAACAGTGGATGTGTCTAGAACATGGCTATCCAGAACTGGCCAGTGCAATTAAGCAACCTGCCTCAAAGCTCAGTTCCATTCAGAACCAGCTTGTTAATTCCTTGAACTTGTTGCTCTCTGCATACTCAACACAAAAACCAACAGACAAGGAGAATTCCAACACACAGTGTCAACAGTTGGGTAAATAGTATTGGCAGAGCCAGTCATCTTTTTTTTTTTACATGGGTGTCAGTGGGGCTCGAGTTTGGGGTGTGTGGAGTGTGGGGGTACATTTCATTAGAGCCTTATGGAATCAACCTTAGCTGCAAGCCCATTCCTGTGATACAATCTATTGATGTCATTTTAGAAATAAAGCAAAAATGTTTCTTTAATGACTCATGAGATTGTATGGGATGGAACTAGGATTGCCAGGTCCCTCCTGGCATCCAGCAGGGAGGACTTACCGGGAGCAGCGGGGAGGTCCATCCAATGTACAGTCTATGTCACTGCCCATGTGACCTGGAAGTGACATCATCACATCCAGGACATTGGTACAATGCTCTGGTATTTGGGCAAAAACTATGGTAAATTTGGCTTCTACCATAGAGTTTTTTGCCCAAATACCAGAGCGTCCCCTTGACATCCTGGATGTGATGACATCACCTCCGGGTCACATGGGCAGTTTTGTAGACATGTTGGATGGATCTCCCTCTTTGGGGGGTAAGTTCCCCCCACGGCAACCGTAGATAGAACCCATGGTACAAGCTTTTTCTGGGTTCAGACTAATGATGCTTGGGACCTATTAGGGTCACATTGAACAATACTGAATGAAATGTTTGCTGCTTCAACTTTTTTCAAATGTGTTTGTTGGGGGGGGGGAAGGAAACGAAAAGATTTTTGGGTGAAATTTCTTTGCCATTGAAAAGGCCTTTCTCCCCCAAAAAATAAATGGAAACAAAATTTCATAAAAGAAATCTATAAAAATATATAAGCCAAAATTGTTATAATATCAGTGGGACCTAACAGCTCATAATAAAACAATCAATTCCCCTTATGCCATATCACTATTCATTTATTATAAAAGCTGCCTCTCCAGAGACCAACTAGAGATGGCTCACGAAGTAAAATAAAATAATAAAATAATTTAAAAACACTGGAATAATTACCATAAAAACAAGCCAGGATAATAGAACAGCATAAAAGCAGCCTAGATTTATGTTAATATAATACTCCTTAAGTTAGAAGCTGATCATAAAAGGCTTAAAAAGGTGGAGCCCCTCAATCAGAAGCCTGGCTAAAGAGAAATGTTTTGGCCCGTTCCTTGGAAGAGAGTAAGATAGGCACTAGGGACACCTCAAGGGCAAGGGCATTACAAAGGCAACACATCACCCTGAAAAAACTCTTACTGTAGTCGCTACCCACCTTACCTTAGTGGACAGGGGTACAGAGAGCAGAGTTTGAAAAAAGAATCTTCACTGGTGGGTTACATAGTATGGAACAAGGAAGTCCTTCAGACACCCCAGCCCCAAACTCTTTAGAGCCTTACAGGTAAGAATCTGCACTTTGAATTGTACCCAGAAACCAATGTTCAGCCAGAGCAAACCTGAGCCACCCTAAGACTCTTTCAGGTACTGAAAAGTGGGGTATAAAAACCAACTCTTCTTCTTCTTAATTTGGAGAATATCAAATCCACCATAAATCTCAACTGTTTGCATGATGATAATTTGTTATCTGGAAAAGAATTGTAGTTGTCATGGAGGCCTTGAAGCCCATGTTCAAGTTACCCAAGGCAATAAATCTAGACTTCAGTCTGTACCACTTTACTGCTCAAATTGGAAGTCCATTTGGAGGGTAATAATTATACCAACCAAATGTCTATGCTGTCTCTATACCCAGCAATTTTCATTTTGTGTTGCACAAAATAGACACAGGATAGCTCTGATATGCTGCTATTTGATATGCCATAGTATCTCTACTTTGTTACCACTCTGTCCACCCCAGTCCAAAGCTGGAAGTAAACAGAGTACCAGGTCAGAGCCATCTTGGTAACTGCTGACTATGACATCTTATGTTAAATCAATGAATAGTTAATGATTTATTTACTGCTAGCCTTGAGTTAAGCATTAGTCGTCACAGATTGGGAACATCATTGGTCTCCAGTTCTGTGGTTACTAAGACAACAGAACAGGTACTATCAGTCTTCTTAATGTATTCACCTTCCATTTACTATACTTTCTCCTATTTTTCTCTGCTCATAAGCTGTTTAGCTTGTTCTCCTTAACTGAACAGTATTGACAAGTCATTCAGGCCCTGGTGGCATCGGAAGCATGATGGGAATGTGTTTTGAGAGGCACATTTTTAAAAACAATAAGTCAAATCAATATTAATTCTCCAAATTCAATATTAATTCTCCTCCTTTGCTCAGCAGCATGAAGAACTTTGATTGATTGATATATGTAAATTTAATTGAGATGTTTTCAAATTCATTACAAAGTGGGTTAGTAGAACAAGAACAAGGATAAGTGACTGCCCTGGATTTAAAAATGTCAGCAGTTTTTGATAGCAAATTTGAACCAATGCGGTCCTTAAAATGTAGCCTGCAGGAGGGACTAAGTCACATTCCTGAGGTTTTAAAAAAGGTCTTTTCTATATTACTGTGATTACTTCCTCTCTTTCCTGTTGCCTCCAGCCAAGCTAGATCTTCTCTTTGGAGTAGAAGGACATTCTTTTCAATTCCTTTGAACTGAATATGAGTTTCCCATATCCAGATCAAGCCCTCAAACCAGTCTACCATACTGGTGGTATGTGTCTTTGTTTTTGTCTTGACTGAGCTGGATGGGTATATTTTTGAAGATCTCGTGGACCATTACAGTAAAGATTGTCCAGGAAAGATGAACATTCATGCTACTAGACACCAGAACGTTTAACAGAAGTTGCTATTACTATTATTTCTTCAACAGCAAATGTGCCACATGGTATTTTAAGGAATGTCACAGGGATTTTGATCTGATGTAATGCCTAGTAATTCTCCATTTAAATTATTTGCTCATAAATTCAAGGAAACATAGGCCTGGTTCTTACATTATCACAATGGTGTGTCCTTTGCTGAAAAATGCTTGTCACGGGAATACCACACAGTTGTTATCATATGTGTGTGTGTGTTATCATGTGGACTAGCAGGTGTATCACATTTTATGTTTCCACACAGCCATCTTCTCTGTGTGGCATAGTGCCAGATATGGCAGCTATGTGAAGTTTCTGCCACACACGGTTGTTTTGACAAGCATCTGCACTGCCACTGTAACACAAGCATGGGGGCTTAGGATCAGAATGAAAGGGGACTTCATTAAAAGTATATCAAGTATATGATCGAGCTGATCTTGTATGGAAATAAACTGAACAAAGTGTATGATGAAATTAAGGACAAACTGTTAAAAAAGTCTTGATACTTTGTGTTTTTAATATTTCTGTTAGAGATCTCTCCAAGCACAAGTCTTAAATCAATTATGAAAAAGAAAGACACTGGTTTTCATGCAGGAGGTAACAGCACCAAAAAGAACCTTCAGTTTGTTGGGGTAAATGGTGGGTAAGCATCAATTAAAGAGACAAAAATGTCTTTTCATGTATAATGATTACTTGTATGTAGGGATGGGTATGAACTGGGAAAATGGTGCTTTGTGGTACATTTGATTACACAAACTTTCACAAACTGGTTCATGGCTTGTTTCATTTGGGAGTTGGTAGAACAGCCCCCTCATGAGTTAGAGATGCCAAGCTCACAGGAAGACTTCAGCAGGCTCTCCTCCACTCTCCATGTTTGGTGATAAGGTTGCCAAGTCCATCTTCCACCCCCAGCGGGGG